GCACCAGTACCTTACGCGAGCATACCAGCGAGTTATACCGAACCTACCGTCACGAGCGTAGCACGCCGCTTCGGTTCGCCGCCTCGTCGCCTATGCATACAAGTGCAACGCCGCGCACACAACCCACGCGACGCGCTTAGCCGGACGCGCCCAAGAATCAGATGAAAACAGAAGATCGAGCTAGGTCGGGATCCGCTTATATACCTTCTGGCCAGGCTGACGGAACTGCGTCACCCGCAGTGTCCGCCGACGGGTTTCCGCCGTGTTCGGGGTCTCCCAGTTTACTCCCACGAACCCCCCCTCCCTTGCTCCCTAGCCTTTGTGTAGCCCAGCGTCTCATCCGCCAGCGCTGTCCACGTGGCTGATATTTGGTACGTTTGTACTGGCGACAGATATTTTTTTTTATTTATAACAAAAAATTTACAATCTATTTTTTTACAAAATAATAAGTAAATATTCATCCACGCATCACCTCCCTCCCATGCACGCACGCCAGCGCCCAGGCACCAGCATGCGCACACCCCATCTCGCCTTCCAATGGGAATTTATCGCCGTCTTCCGCGATTAAATAAAGCATCTACACTTGCGGGACGACTGCGCGTACAAGTATGAGGCATGTGTATGCGGTGGTCTTACCTCTCGAGCGGGAGCGCGCGGCGCGGCCCACGTAGCGCACGCCGTGCAGCGACCTCGGCGGCGTACTCGCGCAGCACGCAGACCGCCCTGGCGGCGGCGGCCGTCACTCGGCCCCGCCCCGGCCCGCGCCCCGCGCCCGCCCCCGCCAGCGCCGCCGCTTGCGCCGACACGTACATCCGCCCCCTGCACCAAGCATTGCTGCTCACAGGGCGGATCCGCGACGCATTATTTTGGGGAGGGCGCATTAAAAAGTGTTTAGTCGATTACAAATTTTGTAAAATGTCGCAGGCTACATCATTACATGCAGCCGAAGGAGTGTTTATGCCTTTTAATGATTTCAAACAAAATATTTTCGAGATACAATTGAGTACAAGTTAATTAAAATATATAGAACACTTTTAGGGGGGGTCCCACATTTCCTTCCCGAGGATCTGCTTCTCAACGCAGTCTTATAAAGGCTCAATCACAATGCAAACATACGCACAACGCATAGGCGTAAATATTAACATAAGCGATAGAATGAAGTGATCAGATGTCTAACATAAAAGAAGAAAATAAGAAGTTTCTATTGGCTGTTGGACGTTCTAGTCGACATTCTTTTACTTTTGGTTGAATGAGAAGTTTCGTGTCCATGACACGAAATTGTTCGATTTAAACTAAGGAGAATTACGCTCTGGTGGAATAGTGTATCATAAAGAAAATTCTGATATCGCGAAACAGATTTTGCTATGCAAGCAAGTATTGCCAATGCTTGGTGTAGTTCACCAAAGAAAGAGCGGCAGAAGAGGCGATGGTTGATTCACCCTTTAAACCAGAGGCACTTGAGCAGGAGGATTTTAATAATGTGTGTGATATACGTACGAGTATAACCAAAATTGTTTTCTGTGCACGAGAGATGACGTCAGAACAAATTCGGCTTCTTATTAAAATGGGTGCCTTCTTTCTTGCAAAAAGAACAAGTATCCGGAACACCGCTGCCACCTTCCTTGCGACTGTCTGCTACATTCAGGTTTTTTAGCTACTTGTGATTCCCACTTCAGTTGGAATTTCAGAAGCAAGAGTACTTGTTGTAAACTGATTAACGAAAACGACACGTGATATTTGAGAGTCACCACGAAAAATTGTCTTAAGTTCCTACACAACAGACATTGAAAGAACGGCGAGTAATTCAGGACATTTGGACATAGGTAAATTTCCTTAATGTTATAGATGCAAAATTTGTACAGACAGTACTAATGCCTTTTTTCAACTGCCGACGGAGACCTATAAACCGAACGTATCTAGGACGATTTGGAGAAATGCACTACTCTGTCACCGAAACTTGCGTTGATAAACTAATTGTTTTGTGATCCCGGACGCATCATTCTGCTAAGCGGTCATTAATCCTGTTGAGTATAAATGCACTTTAATCATGGGAGGTGTGGTGATCTACCACCGCTACTTGGTGAGATCTGGTGTCGACCTATACATCGGCTTGAGGGGTTCCCAATCAAAGTTCTCCCACCAGCAGGGCACCAACTGGTCTCCAGATGTGCTTGTTAGTTGTAGTGCATGTAAGTGTAAGTAGATGTAAGTAAGGGTGCAAAAAAGGACAAAGAAGACAAGGGAAAGATGGCCGTTTGTTAAAGTTACTGTGCTGCCCCGGCATATCGCCTCGTGTAAACCGAGAACCACGAGACTGCGATCAAGCAGCCTTCAGATACTTCCCCTTAGATCCTCCAGACAGCGACTGACTTCACGAAGCTAATATTGTAGGCGTCATATCTGTCGCCAGACTCGGCCTGACCCTGTGGTGTGCGGATCGTGCCCGCAGCTCCGAGTGGTCTTTACCTTGCTCGCCCGCGAGCGGCCGCCAAGATTAAGGGAAAAGCTCTAGTGATAATAACCAGTGCGCACTAGCTCTAAGTGAACAGGTGATATTTGTAAATTATAAGCAGTGTTTCATTCTTTTTCATATTCAAATCAACCTAACAAAAGGACACCTATACTTAAAACTCGATCGATTTACCGAAGTAACTTTCGGGTTAGGATCAGTAGCATGTTAGTGCGATTGCTGCTTATGACCACCCGAGGAAGCTTGTTTACTTCAAGAAAAAATGTCACTCCGAAGAATCAAAGGCAAGCGGACCAGCAACGGGCAATGGATTCCATGATTCATCTTGCTCCCGTCAACCTTGACGCAGAAATGTATGGGCCAAATATTTAACACGCCATTCTCGGTCAAAAAGGCCGAACCCTGACGTACCTCAGACCCTGCTGGCTATAGAAGGGATAAGGCAAAAACAGCGGTCTTGCGATAGTTATACTAGTGTATATTAACAGGTTCCACCAAGAATACAATTCAGTGCTCTTGATATAGAGCACAACAGAGAACCAATGAGGAAACTTTTCCAAAAACCCACGTGTACCTCCAATTTTCGTGCCAAATGTGAATTAACTGTTCCAGCTATTGATCAAATTTTCTAAAGGAAGCTTATTAAAAAACACAGAGATTTCGAAATTAAAATCTCTAGCACGGACAACAAAATTAATCTCTCTTTCGTTTT